CAGTGGTCGAAATACTTTTTTTCAGTGCTCTGCAATATTGCAGAAGAGTCAAAATTTTGTTCTGCAATTTGAAAATACTTTCTGCAAATACACAAGCCTCCATACTACAACCTTCTCAAACCATTAAATTTAAACGTCTTTTTACATCATATATAGCTTTGTAAATCTGTAGCATTACCGGATTTCTTTGAAGTTTAATCTATCACTCTTTTTAATTTCAGACTTTATAGATCCTTCTTCACAGAAAATTTATCATTTACTGGTATCTTCACGGGTCTTTCACCGCTGTCTCACACTACAAGCTACTAGTAGTGGGATCAGTGGGATCTAAAAATCATACTTTACCTGTAAATGCACTAGTAATCACACCCACATATCATCACAACATACTAATAAAAGACACACAAAAAAACAACTCTTAAGACAACTCGATATGATTTTGGTGCTACCTGAAACGGTCAGACTGCTACCTTTCATCAGTGACACTAAGAGAATTGCAGATTTATAAGCAGGAACTATTGATTCATATGCAAATTAGCGAAGACAATTTTTGGAAGTCCAAAGGGAAACAAAAGATAGACAAGTCAAGACAAGGATGATGCAAATTAGTGAAGAAGCTCCTGTTGCTCCAAAACAGGAGCTTAAGTGTTGTCTGTCCTTGGGGCCAGAGAGTTCTAGTTTGCTAAATTGAAAACTATTGAATCTGGGGTTTATTTTTCCTTCTGCAAAATTGCAGATTGTATAAATTTTTCTTCTGCAATCTTGAAAATCTATCTGCAAATTGCAGACTGCAGACAGGTATTTCGAACACTGATATGAATGTGTTTGAGTAGGAATTAACAGAGCAGACCAAGGTAAACATTATGCCTTACAAATATTACCAAGCATGACAAGGGAAAATCTGAACAAGAAAATACAAAAGAAACTGGAAAGGTAATATTTGCAAGGCAAATGCATAATGTTTACCTTGGTCTGCTCTGTTAATTCCTACTCAAACACATTTATACAGGAGTCTAAATCCCTCCTGCTATAAAACTGCAACATGATGTAACCCAACACTAGTTACCATGGTAACAGACACAGCATTGGTTCAGGTCATTGAGGTCACTGTTTGGAGAAGAAGAAGAGGAAACTGAGGAAAAACAATATGTTTTCCTTCAGTAAACATAAATACACAAGAGTGTAGTAAACAATATATTAAAAAAACTTGCTTCTGGTGTGGCGCTTGTACCATCTTCCTGGGCAGGGCTTGCAGCCGACTTTGTAGGGGTAGGGCTGTCAGCAGAGGTGGGGTTCTCAACAACAGGACTGGCCTTAGGGGTGGGACTGTGGACAGTAGAGCTGGCACCAGGGGTAGGGCTGGCAGCAGGGGCAGGACTGCCTTCAGCAGCTGGGCCAGGGTTCTCCACAGGAGCAGGGTTCTTATCAGGGCTGACAGAGGTCCTGGACAGGTCAGAGTCTGGCTGGATGGGCGAGAACGATGACATCCTCCTTGGCCTGATGTCCTGGACGTTTATAAAGACAGAACGGAACATCATTGTCAGACACTACTTTATAGCAAAATAAATTCATTAGAGGTATGGATGAATTGTGCATGCTTAGGCCTAGGAAAACAAATTTTGTGTTTCTTGTTTCCTCACCGTCTCCAGAAAAAACTGCAGATCGTAGCCTATAGGACTCGGCAGCTATAGTATAATAGGTTTGGTAACCAGGCTAAAAATCAAGACCAAAAAACATTCAAACTCACCTTCTTTGGTTTGGGCTGCTTCTTGGTAGAGGGTTCAGTGAGGACTGAACTCTCCTCACTCTCTGTAATGGTAAACACAGGAAAAATGATGATCCCATTGATTTTGCATCTATTTTAAATTTAGGCCACACCAATTTAATTTCTTGGTTAACAGATTTTTCTAGAAAAATAATGGAGCGGGCGGGACGAAAAAAAAAAAAAACAGGCCTAGGCATCCCATTATGGCCCAAAATGGTACAATAGGAGCCATGAAGTCAACACACCTGAGGCTGGTTCAAAATTTAAACAATGAATTTTGAACTTTTAATGATACCACTGCATTGAAAGATGGAATAACTATAACAACTAGGAAGAAAAGGACTGTTTTCAACTGTTCAGGGCAAAATATGAGCATTTTGCAGTTGATTCTAAATTTTTATTTTTATTTGCAAGTCAGAAAAAAATGAAGCGGGCGAATCCGTTAACCAAGAAATTAAATTGGTGTGGCCCTATCTACATTCAAACAGGAAAATGAGCAATTATGTCTAAAAATCTTGAAGATATATTCAGAATACATACCTGTGTCCGAGAAGTACTCACTGATCAGCTCAAAGCCATCAGCATCTTTCTTCATATCTTTCTTCATCACTATACCAGTACGTCTGGGGGCAATGGTCAAATCACACAATGAAATAGTTTGTCGAAATGAAAGTTAACATTTTTAATCGTCATTGAAAACAATATAGAAACGATAATTTTAATAGCATGGCGGTGCCATTCTTGACCCGAATGGCATTATACATGTAGTTAGTTCTAAATACTTCTTTGTGAGTTGAATTGTGACCAACAAACCCAATTTCCAACAATCCAAGAATTAAAATTCTAAGATAAGAATTCTTCAACCATATACATCACAGTAGTGATGCATACCTAAACTCAATTTTAGGTTCAGGTCCGGATTCAAGTCCAGAGGTTTAGGTTCAGTTTCGGACCTGTAAGGCCTAACAAAATAAATGTTGTGTTTCCTATTACAGTCCAGAAAAAATTAGGGTCGGTAGGTAGGGATTCCCTTTTTTTTTTTTTTAGTCAAAGCCGGGACAATGAACGTATGATCTGTTTGTACTACACAGAAAATTGGCAGTACAAAACAGATCGTAAAATTCTTCAACAAAAGAGTTTGTATATAGTAACCTCTAGAAAGATTCAGACAAGCGAGATGTAAACAGTCTGAACTGAACACTTTATTAAAACAAGGCTGCTCTGAATGGCTCTCGGGACAGGTCGCAGACTGCCCTGTAACTAGGGGTGGGTACCTGTTCGGCTCTTTCAGGTCCAGGTCCAGGTCCAGAGGATCAGGTCCAGGTCCGGACCTGTACCTGTACCTGATTCTGGATACCTGAGTATCAGTACCGAATTTTTTTGTGCTAAATGATCATTGCTAAATACAATATAAGTATAAGTAACCACTAAAATAATTTTCATTTTATTTTTATTTATTTTTCTTTTATTCTATTTTTTATTCTATTTTATTTCATCCAATTTTATTCTATTTTATCCGTTCTAATAACTTCTATACATTATCAAACTACTCCTAGAGCTACTAAAACTTCAGACCGAATATATTAATTCATTAAACTGTCCAACCAATCACATCGCAGGATACCGAATATATTAATTCATTAAACAGTCCAACCAATCACATCGCAGGATACCGAATATATTAATGCATTAAAATCCAAGATGGCGCCGGCAGATCGGCGCGGCCTCGGCGATTGCCAAAGTTTTCTTGTATTTTCCTTGGTATTTTACGCGATTCAAGCAAAGAAAACAAGTTGACCACAAGAAGAAAAGAGAAATACAGCACTGGGAACCTAATGGTCCGTTTTGTTGGGCGGTAATTTCTCATTTCGAGTGACAATTTACGTGCGTCACAGTGTGACTACTGATTTTCGGCTCCATCCGAACCAAACACGGCCTGTAAACTTGTCCTTTGTGATTTCTAGATAACTATCGGTAACAAAGACATGGGAAATACTGTTGCAAATGAGAGAGACGGAATCTAA